TCCCAGAGCGACACCAAAAGAAAATTTGGAAAACATCAGACTCTTTTGCATCCCAATGTGAAACGGCACTAAGCAAACATTGATGCGTAATGACGTCACGGATAAACGAAGAACTGTGGAAGGACTTCTTTAAATTTATCTAAGCGTTCTGGATGGCTGGTATAAATTATAAAAAATCATATATATAAAAAACATATAAATAAAAATTATAACAAAGAAAACATACAAGTCATAATAAAATATCATGGTTTTATGATGAACGTTTTAAATTAAATTAGCAAATAAAATTTAGTTGCACGTTGGTCAAAAATATTTGTGTCGTTCCCTGAAATTTCGTTTCGCACTGCTTTTATTAGCTATTTTTAGCGGGTTTATTTCTGGCATCCCACCTTTTTTGACATCAGCTGTTAGAAATTCCCTGATTTTAATAATCAGGGAAAGAGATTAACAGAAAAATCAGCGAAAATGAGAGAGTTTGCTTGTGCACTTTTACACAGGGATTCAAAAGAGTCTGATGTTTTTCAAATTTTCTTTTGGTGTCGCAACTCGAGTCTAGTTTTTCTGCATTCCTTTTCACAAAATTTTCGTAAATATTTGTGCGGTTCGATGCGCAACACTGCGTGCTGCGTATTTCATTTGTATGTTGAGATAGGTTCACATTTTGCTTGCAATGAATTACCATAATATGGTAGAACAATATGCATAATACAAGTACCTACCGCTAAATAGTTTCAAGAAATACTAAAGACGGGAATTCCCTAATCCACAAGAGTATTGAATATCCGCTACTAATATTTTCAAGGCCAAATTATAATAGGAATTTCCTAATTTTAAAGTATTAAAACTCATAATTTCTTTACTCCGTATTAAAAATTCATAATTTCTTTACTCCATAATCTATATCTTAATTTTCTCCTTATTTACAATTTGTCATAATATTTCTATTATTCTATGCATACGTATTTGCATATTACATACAAAAATAGATAACAGAACTCAAATTTGCGATCGAATTCATTTGAAACCGAGCGCTTTAACAGACAAAGAATTTTCACTCACAAAAACTTAGACATGTAAGTTAAAAAATAAAATTGGGAACATTTAATAATATTTCAATACAATAAATAATAATTTAAATAATACTATGTAAATTTAATCTTTAGGAATTAAAACAATCGAAAAATATTTGAATATTGAATAAAAACATTCTTAAAGTTATTAATTTTAAAACATAACACGGCAACACATTATAGCAGATTTCTGTCATTTGAACGTTTTAGTAGTAGAATATTGGTTGGCAACCCGTACAAAGTGTGATTTTAGTAGCAGAATACTGGTTGGCAACCCGTACCAAGTGTGATTTTAGTTGTAGAATTTTCGAGGCAACCCGTCCCAAGTGGGATATTTTTGCGTGTGTATTAGTGAAAATCTTAGGATTGGCTACTTGTAGATTTATACAATGGTAGCTTACTCATGTTCATTGTAGGCTTATACAATGCTCATGTTTTAGTAGTAGTATTAGAATATTTTGTATTTTGAGCCTAATATTTTCTATCACTACTGATTAAAAAAGTTCAATTGCACTTTTTATTAAAAATATCTGGTTGGCAGTGCTGCATCGTCAATAAAACAGATAATTGATGTGACGATATCATCCTTGGTTTTGAACCACATTGGTTTTTATTCGAATTTGGTGTTATTTAACAGTTAGATTAATTTAAAAAGGGTTGACATATATAAATTGTATTGGATATGAATGATATAGACTTGGGTTTTGCGGAGCAGCGCGAGAGCGCATGGTTGACGAACCGCTACTTTCCTAGCAAAGTAGGTGGGAAACCAGCGTGGTTGGAGCTGGAAAAATTGCCAAGTAACAAAGAGCTATTGTGCGAAAAATGTCAACAATCTAAAGCATTTCTATGCCAGGTAAAAACATCACGCTTGGATATATGTAGATATGTTCAATTAAAATTAATTGATTACTATAGATTTATGCACCATTTGAAGATGAGTATAATTTTCATCGAACTATTTACGTCTTTGTGTGCCGAACGCCCGATTGTCAGGAGATAAATTCAGCAAAGTAGGCATTGATTTTCTTCTCTTTAATAAACACCCTAAATGTTCTTTATTATTTTAACAAAATAGGTATTTGAGTGTTTATAGAAGTCAACTGCCAAGGAAAACTTCTTTTTACTCGGAAGAACCACCAATAGAAGAAGGAAAGCCATTGGTAATTAATTGTTTTACTTTGATATATGTGTAGTATAATGTAATATTTGTTCATGAACAGCCAGAAATTAACACAGCAAAGAAATTCTGTTTTGCTTGTGGTTGCTTGGGGTCTTTAACATGTGGGCGTTGCCGGAAAATAAATTACTGTTCTGCAACCCATCAACGTGCTCACTGGCAAGAGCACAAAAAAGTTTGTACGACTGAAAGCAATAGTGAGTGTGAAAATGTCAATGTGCTGTTGCCTAATATAAGATTTCCGGAATGGGAAATTGTTGTTGAAGCGAATAATCCAGATGAGGAATATAATACAAAGGACGATGAAAGCGTAGAAATGTCACGCTGGAAGGAATATCAGGATTTATTGGCAACTGGAAACACAGGTACACTGAAGGACGTACCAGATACTGAACTGGATAAATATATTACCGAATCTGAAGCAGCTGATGACAAATTTTTTAGGAAGTTCAAAAAAGAAGTGAGCAGAGACCCAGATCAAATTTTGAGATATAAACGGGGAGGACACCCTCTTTGGATAGCAAATGTTAAACAAACTTTTGGCCAAAATCCTCAAATTCCCGATTGTGAGCTATGTGGTAGTGTGCGTCAGTTCGAGTTTCAGATAATGCCACAGATGCTTAATTTGCTGAAGGATCACCATCTTGATTGGGGAGTATTGGCTGTATATACATGTGCAAAAAGTTGCAACATACCAGCTGACATAGGATATGTTGCCGAATATATTATAAAGCAGGATATAATTGAAAATAAAACATAAAGTTATAATGTTCTGATATATAGTTTTTCGTATTGAATAATGCGCCAGATCAGCAGGCATTTTAAGCGACTTATAAATTTTGTTAATTCAACTTAATAATAGGAAAATGGCGGTGTTTTGAAAAGTCAAACTCAGGTTGCGTTTTAGAGTCTTTCTGATGGCCTTTTGCTAAAACATTCATGACAACAGAATTTACCTTTGCGATGTGAAGCATATCCAAAATCTATTAAATAAAGAAAGAAAGATAATTTATTTGCCACTTATATATATTTTTGATATGTGTACTGTAACTAGCCTACCTCTTGGTCTGGATTTTGTATGGATTCCAAAACGATTCGTGTTTGATCAAAATGTTTCGCGGCGATTGCATAAATTTCCGACGATGACCGTCGCATCATATGCTCTCTTATACTCTTAAATTCGGCGTAAGAAACAGGTGGCGGGCTTGTTAAAGTAGCAAAAGGTGCGAATCTTCTGTTGAAACGAATTTCTTCATTATCGAACTTAGGCATAGGTTGCCGAATTCGACCGTCTTTTGTTAATGCCCCCAGAGCTTTATAATACCCACCACACATGCTTGACATGGCGTGATAATAAACGATTTCTTGTCTATAGGGTTTTTGCTGTTTCTTGTTCTTTTTAGGCTTAGGCTTACGATTCTTTGAATTGCTGCTCCCTTGTAATCTACTTTGATGTTCGGCATATTCCTCCTGTACAAGGAGATTATTTTCTGTGCGTGTTAAGGCAGACACAATGAACCCTATTAACAATTCATATGGATACCTACAATTTACCAAGCAAAATAAATAAAAAAAATAACATACATTAAATATTAACTTTACCAGTAAATATACAGGAACTCATGTACCGAATACAGCTCTAATTCAAAACCAGACATCAAATAAAGCATCATTGCACGAAAACAGTTGTACAAAACCCATGTCGCAAACTGACAGCTATGTTTTAGAGCAGTAGCGTGCGCTTCATTTCCTTCCGACGCTTTTTCGTTAGCTAAAATTGTTAAATGAGAGTCCAATCTGGCTGCCTCCACTTGAATAGTATCAAAACCGTCAATAAACCGAGCCAACTTGTCACGCTGGCGAGCTCGATTGAAGCCGCAAATGCGAATAAATTGTGTGAATGTATTTAAGCTAATACAGTAACGGAAGAAAGTATCTAAATACATTTGAATCTTTAGATCCGTTGCCAGGGGATGCTTTGGATTTAGTACAGGCGGAGAATTAAAAGCACGAACTGAGTCCCATAGAAAATCCTTGATTGGAATTGTACCAAAAATAAGTCGACGGTTAGATATAAACAAACCCTGAAGTACACTACGCGAGAGTACACATTGTCCAGACTTCTTGCTAAACTCAATAAAGAAATTCTATTGAAGACCAAGATTATTTTTGGGTGAATCAGTTAATCATAAACTAGTTACCAAAGCTGAGTAGTAGTCACGCATTCGTATTATTTTACAAGCATACTTCAATCGATGTACTAAATCTTCTAAAAACAGTAAACTGGATTGGCGATCACGAATCTTAACGTTCCGGGGGAAAGTAGGTGGTTGACTACGGTCATGAATTCGAGGAGAGAATCCAATTGGATTTGGAGAATCAGCTGGGATTAAGATTACATTGTAACAATTTAAAAATAATTATTAATATTTTGACTTTATACTTACAGTTAGGGATAGGTTGAATACCCTTTTCAATGGTGCGTTTTATTTGTGGTATTAATTCGAGTGATGCGTTTAGGTTTTTGTAAATTTCGTTCATATTCGACTCTTGAGGTGCAGTTCCCATCACAAAATCGAATAAGAAAATCGATTGATAAAAGTGACGCATAAAACGAAGACGATGAACAACGGCCATAGTGTACTCCGGTTGTTGCTCTGTCTTGCTAAGACGCACTAAATCATCTTCTGCTTCTTTTAATTGTGATGCTACTGCCGTCGGCTGGCAATCTTCAACAGCCAATAAAGACGAATTTCCATAGAGTTGAAAGTCTTCTTCTTCATTTACACTACTGATAATAATTATATTCTTTATAATGACGATTAAAATTCTTATAGCATGACAAAAGTATCGAAGTGCTTTATCTTTGATACCACTTGGCTGGTGTAAATAAAGACAGGTAAACAAAACCTGATCCATAGAATTTCCTTCCAACCATGATACAAGACATGCGAATAGTGCGTCAAATGTTCCGATAAGTTCCTCGTTACTGAAATTGTCAAGTTTCAAAGCACCCGACTAGATACACATACATATATGTATTTTAAGTTGGTTAAAGCGACGGGAAATTATATTCAAATAGCACAAGTACCTCAACGGCAGATTCAAAAGTATGAGGAGGTGCGTCATGTTTATTGTATCCCATTCCTACGTCCATTTTAGGATCCATCATTTCAATTGCAGACATTGCTTCGAATAAGCCAAAAAGCATATCTTGGGCTAATTCTCCTAAATTTAACTCTGAGCACGAACCAAAAAACTCTTTTGTGATATCAACCCAACCGAAACGCGGGTATTCGCCAGTGTCTTCATTGGACCGAACAGTACGTTGAATATCACCATCTATAAAGCCGCCTTCTTCCATTGCCCATTGGTTGGCATCATATAATTCTGGCATTACAAAATCATCTGATTTATTTTGTAAAGCTGCCGCAGCTGCTGCAGCTGCTGTAGCTGCTTGGAATACAGCATTACCACTACAAAAAATATATATTTATTGATTTACATATGTGTGCAATCTTATATTTTCTTACAGATGGTCCATAATGTTTGGTTAGTCTACGTATCCCCTTGTATATTTGTCATTCGCTTATAACAAAAGAAATTCCGAAAACTTTGGTCTCAATATCTATAAAAACAAATTTTATATTGTACACATCGTTTTATAAAAATAAATTAATGCATGAAATATTTCAAATGATGCCGTCTAATATTTAATTGTGATAGCAAATTTTGTTCCGATAATAATGATAACGAAAGCGATATTTGATTAATTAATATCGGTATAACCCAGCAGCCACGGCTACCGAAACTCCAATACATTGAAAGAATTACCGCGGAAACTAATGCATATTCACCATGCGTCTCATAAGGAATTGCGTAATTTAGTCGAGCAGACTAAATATTAAAAACATATCATTAAAACTTCACTATATACCATATGTACATAAATGTATGTATAAACCTCCCATATTCGGTTCCTTGTACGTTGTGATAATTCTTGTTCAGAATCTCACTTTGCTACATTACAATTTAATTAACAAAACAGTAAACAATCAAAAACCATCATCAGCTGATCAAAATGTAGCTAAAAAACTATTATATTGACGGGTTATTGCTTAAAATTTGTTTTATTTATTTGTGGTTTATTAATGGTAACTGTATCTTTCCAATTACGATATTTTAAAAGGTGATTATGATACATTTGCTTTGGCTTTTTTTCAAGGGAAATTTACGCTTATGCATAGATAGTATACATATGGGGCTTTGCCTTCTAGTACAAAGTAAACCATTAGCAGTTTTATATTTTCAACTCAAATAGTGATAATAAATAAAATTCGGAAAATAATAATAAGTTAAACTTTACAGGACTCAGTATAATACGTGATGAAGGTCAAACACCAAACCAATCATTGGCCCATTCAAATTGTATCCTTAAGATTGAAAAATTATAAAAATAATGAAATATTTGTCATTGTTAGGCGAGCTCCCATATCAAAACCAAAGTAAATTAAGTAAGGAAGGGCTAAGGATGTAACCGAACATTTTATACCCTCGCAAAGTCAAATGGTATACTCGTTTGAGATTTCTTTGTGGATGGACTGATATTTTCGGTAGAAGGTCAACTATAGGCATTGGGGTCCACATATTTAGTACTTAGGGGCTTGAACAGTTTTGGTTCGATTTAGACAATTTTTGGTCACAAGGTGGCATACTTTAAACGTATTATTCACGTAAGGTTTTACCCCGATATAATCATTGTTGCTTGATATGCATAGTGGAAAGTGAAAGAATCCGATTTCGCCTATTTTTGCACTATAACATAGAAATATGAAAAGAACGTTATGCACCGAATTTGGTTGAAATCGGTTAAGCAGATCCCAAGATATGGGTCTTCACCTAAAAGTGGGCGGTGCCACGCCCACTGCCTAATTTTGAACGCGGTTCCTATAAAGTCATTTCATACCATCCCATAGATAAAATTTAATGTCTCTGGCTTGTTTAGTGCTTGATTTGTCGCGCTTTTAGTAGTTTTTAACAGTACCGTTATATGGGGAGTAGGCGGCGTTGCCACCCGATTTCAATTATTTTCACACTGTGGGTAGAGGTTCTAAAAACATTTGCTTCCAGTGAATTTTGTTATTATAGCATTAGCGGCTTAGGAGATATGCACATTAAACCTATTAGGGACGGGACCACGCCCACTTAAAAAAAAATGTTAACTGCAGATGCCCCTCCCTAATGTGATCCTGTGTACCAAATAACAGTCTTGTATCTTATTGCGGAGCTTAGTTATGGAAATTTATTTGTTTTTGATTAATGGCGTTTTGTGGGTGTGGCAGTGGTCTGATTACGCCCATCTGCAATACCAACCGTCTCACGGTACCAAGAAACATGTCTACCAAGTTTCATAAAGAAATCTCAATTTTTACTCAAGTTAGAGCTTGCACGGACGGACGGACGGATTCCCGGATTTCAACTCGTCTCTTCATCCTGATCATTTATATATGTATAACCCTATATCTAACTCGATTAGTTTTAGGTGATACAAACAACCGTTAGGTGAACAAAACTATTATACTCTGTAGCAACAGGTTGCGAGAGTATAAAAACACAGAATGTAACTGTAAATTTCGAAAGTTGTCCATAATTTCCGAGCGTTCGCCAACTCTGTGTCTTGTTTAGCACGAATATGTGTTGTCTAGTCGATTTATGTGCTTTTGTATTTAAATATGCAGTATAATAGAAATATTTTGGAAAATAGTGAATAAGAATGCAATAAATGGAAAAAATAGATACATAGATTGGGAAACTCCTGTCATAAACTTGACCTTGAAAATAATAATAGCGGATATTTAATATGTACATTCTAATGGAGTAGGAAATTTGTCCATGTGAACGCCGTTTTGTCAACTGACCGTCATTGTTTTTGCTAAAAGAGAACTTATACGACTTATAATTCATACTACTGTTTATCTATGTAAGAAAGAAATAG